TGTGTTATGTCAGTGGGTACAGGGCTCCACCTCAAGTTCACGTAGTTGTGGGATGTGTTATGTCAGTGGGTACAGGGCTCCACCTCAAGTTCACGTAGTTGTGGGCCGTGTTATGTGAGTGAGTACAGGACTCCACCTCATGTTTACGTAATTGTGGGCTGTGTTATGTCAGTGGGTACAGGGCGCCACCTCAAGTTCACGTAGTTGTGGATTGTGTTATGTCAGTGGGTACAGGGCGCCACCTCAAGTTCACGTAGTTGTGGGATATGTTATGTCAGTGAGTACAGGACTCCACCTCAAGTTCACGCAGTTTTGGGCTGTGGTTTGGCAGTATTTTAACATATGCCCAAAAATAAAGTGATCCTTAGCAAAATGTGAGCAGTATATATATCGAATATGTCAGGGCTGTTTTTGAATAGCAATACGTTGAATGTGTTATGTCAGTGGGTACAGGGATCCACCTCAAGTTCACGTAGTTGTGGACTGTGTTATGTGAGTGAGTACAGGGCTCCACCTGAAGTTCACGTAGTTGTGGGCTGTGTTATGGGAGTGAGTACAGGACTCCACCTCAATTTCACGTAGTTGTGGGCTGTGCTATGTCAGTGGGTACAGGGCTCCACATGTCAGTTGGTACAGGGCTCCACCTCAAGTTCACGTGGGTGTGGGCTGTGTTATGTGAGTGAGTACAGGACTCCGTAGGATGTGTTATGTCAGTGGGTACAGTGCTCCACCTCAAGTTCACGTAGTTGTAGGATGTGTTATGTCAATGGGTACAGGGCTCCAACTCAAGTTCACGTAGTTGTGGGCCGTGTTATGTGGGTGGGTACAGGACTCCACCTCAAGTTCACGCAGTTTTGGGCTGTGGTTTGGCAGTATTTTAACATATGCCCAAAAATAAAAGGGATCCTTAGCAAAATGTGAGCAGTATATATATCGAATATGGCGGTGCTGTTTTTGAATAGCAATACGTTGAATGTGTTATGTCAGTGGGTACAGGGCGCCACCTCAAGTTCACGTAGTTGTGGGCTGTGATATGTGAGTGAGTACAGGACTCCACCTCATGTTTACGTAATTGTGTTATGTCAGTGGGTACAGGGCTTTACCTTATGTTTACGTAATTGTGGGTTGGGTTATGTCAGTGGGTACAGGGCTCCGCCTCAAGTTCACGTGGTTGTGGTCTGTGTTATGTGAGTGGGTACAGGACTCCGCCTCAAGTTCACGTAGTTGTGGGCTGAGTTATGTCAGTGGGTACAGGGCTCCGCCTCAAGTTCACGTGGTTGTGGTCTGTGTTATGTGAGTGAGTACAGGACTCCTCCTCATGTTTACGTAATTGTGGGCTGTGTTTCAGTGAGTACAGGACTCCACCTCAAGTTCACGTAGTTGTAGGATGTGTTATGTCAGTGGATACAGGGCTCCACCTCAAGTTCACGGGGGTGTGGGCTGTGTTATGTCAGTGGGTACAGGACTCCACCTCAAGTTCACGTAGCTGTGGGATGTGTTGTGTCAGTGGGTACAGGGCTCCACCTCGGGTTCGGGTGGGTGTGGGCTGTGTTATGTGAGTGAGTACAGGACTCCGTAGGATGTGTTATGTCAGTGGGTACAGGGCGCCACCTCAAGTTCACGTAGTTGTGGACTGTGTTATGTGAGTGAGTACAGGGCTCTACCTCAAGTTCACGTAGTTGTGGGCTGAGTTATGTCAGTGGGTACAGGGCTCCAGCTCAAGTTCACGGAGTTGTGGGGTGTGTTATGTGAGGGAGTACAGGACTCCACCTCAAGTTCACGTAGCTGTGGGATGTGTTATGTCAGTGGGTACAAGGCTCCACCTCAAGTTCACGTAGTTGTGGTCTGTGTTATGTCAGTGGGTACAGGGATCCACCTCAAGTTCACGTAGTTGTGGACTGTGTTATGTGAGTGAGTACAGGGCTCCACCTGAAGTTCACGTAGTTGTGGGCTGTGTTATGGGAGTGAGTACAGGACTCCACCTCAATTTCACGTGGTTGTGGACTGTGTTATGTCAGTGGGTACAGGGCGCCACCTCAAGTTCACGTAGTTGTGGGTTGTGTTATGTCAGTGAGTACAGGGCTCCACCTCAAGTTCACGGAGTTGTGGGATGTGTTATGTCAGTGGGTGCAGGGCTCCTCCTCAAGTTCACGTAGTTGTGGGCCGTGTTACGTGAGTGAGTACAGGACTCCTCCTCATGTTTACGTAATTGTGGGCTGTGCTATGTCAGTGGGTACAGGGCTCCACATGTCAGTTGGTACAGGGCTCCACCTCAAGTTCACGGGGTTGTGGGCTGTGTTATGTCAGTGGATACAGGGCTCCACCTCAAGTTCACGTGGGTGTGGGCTGTGTTATGTGAGTGGGTACAGGACTCCACCTCAAGTTCACGTAGCTGTTGGATGTGTTATCTCAGTGGGTACAGGGCTCCACCTCACGTTCACGTAGTTGTAGGATGTGTTATGTCAATGGGTACAGGGCTCCAACTCAAGTTCACGTAGTTGTGGGCCGTGTTACGTGAGTGAGTACAGGACTCCTCCTCATGTTTACGTAATTGTGGGCTGTGTTTCAGTGAGTACAGGACTCCACCTCAAGTTCACGCAGTTTTGGGCTGTGGTTTGGCAGTATTTTAACATATGCCCAAAAATAAAAGGGATCCTTAGCAAAATGTGAGCAGTATATATATCGAATATGTCAGGGCTGTTTTTGAATAGCAATACGTTGATTGACCACATAGATATACCCTCAAGTTCACGTAGTTGTGGGATGCGTTATGTCAGTGGATACAGGGCTCCACCTCAAGTTCACGGGGGTGTGGGCTGTGTTATGTCAGTGGGTACAGTGTACAGGGCTCCACCTCAAGTTCACGTAGATGTGGGATGTGTTATGTCAGTGGGTACAGTGCTCCACCTCAAGTTCACGTAGTTGTAGGATGTGTTATGTCAATGGGTACAGGGCTCCAACTCAAGTTCACGTGGTTGTGGGTTGTGTTATGTCAGTGGGTACAGGGCGCCACCTCAAGTTCACGTAGTTGTGGAATGTGTTATGTCAGTGAGTACAGGACTCCACCTCAAGTTCACGTAGTTGTGGACTGTGTTATGTGAGTGAGTACAGGGCTCCACCTCAAGTTCACGTAGTTTTGGGCTGTGGTTTGGCAGTATTTTAACATATGCCCAAAAATAAAAGTGATCCTTAGCAAAATGTGAGCAGTATATATATCGAATATGTCAGTGCTGTTTTTGAATAGCAATACGTTGATTGACCACATAGATATACCCACCTGAATTCGATATGAACGACACTACATACTTCTTTTCCTCAGCTTATTGTACCTCACTGACTTACCTTCGTTGATATATCACTGGTATATATTGTTTACTTACAGACCATGTCAATGATCCCCGTCCACGTCCCTCCTTGTACACATTTAAGAGTTGTCTCCCCTCCTCCACTAGTAATGTTGACAAAGTTGGTGTCGCATACATACGATGCTGCCCCTCCTACATTGAGGGAGGTCACCACAGAATGTCCATTTGTCAGTGACGGCGGTGACGGACAGGCTACACACAAGTGATATTTAAGTTGAGAATGCCATTAATATTTATATTTTTTCTTTAGACACTCAAATCGTTTGACGTAATGGAATCTAGTATTAATTTACTAATATTTATTAAATTACATACAATGAGATAGAAGAGAGTAATCTTAAATGACATTGACCATACCAATATTATTTTCAGTGTTATTGAAATATTTTTAGAAAACATTAATTTCCTTTCATTGAATTATTGCTTTTAGTTGAAGCAACATTAGTTGGACAGTTTTTCGTTATTCGTTTACTAACGAGAAACTATCTAACTTTATACTTTCCGTTATTGGCCTTAGTTGATAAGTACATGCACAACACAAATATGAACGCCAGCTAGAAATGTACAGCTTATAAATGAAAATCAGATGTTTCTTTGAAGGCGTCGTTATGGGTTTTTATTAAAAATTATATGTTTATCATTAAATATTCAAAAGCAAGGTTATATAAACTGAACTTTTCTCTTGAGACAACATTAATGTGAAATTGGACAAGATTATATTCACAACATATTTACTTAGGTAGCTTCAGAAGGTCTATTGGAATCGTATTTTGTATACATTTCTTGCTGTGTATACTAGGACTGTTTCCTTGGTCATACTCGAATGCTATTTTAGGGAGGGGTCGATAATTGGTTATGGAGATTTATGGTATTTGCTAGCCCCAAGGGACCTATAGGGATGTCCTGATCTTTAGGGAGGATAAGAGGTGTGAGGTGACATTTCATACATGGCTGGCATCATGAGGTACAGCGATGCTGTCACAGGTAGTGGGATTAAATCGTCATCGAGGATTCCCTAATACTGTTTGATAAACCTAACGGGTTGCCCCTTAGTTAGTCAGTGGTAGGTACGGACAGGGTTAGCTTGGTTACTCAACTAAAGGCCAACTACAGTTGTTTTGTGGTCTTTTAGAGTCGTGTATGAAGGCTGATGTACATTATGTCTATAGTATCACTTAAATTATATCAGGTATGTATTAGTCCGAAATGAACGATTACATTTTAACGAGGCCTTTTGGATTCTCATCAGTCTCACGTGAAAAGGCCATGATTTCTAGGTCCTTATTGCTTCTAGTGGATATTTTGAAATTAATAACGGCCTGTCTGACCACCAAGTACTTGACCTCGTGTACGTAAGTAAACCAACCTTCGCGTCACGACTGCATGGGATTCCATTACTAGTATGCACACTGCTCATGTCTGTGTGTTATATCCTTTGTGTAGCTGTGAATTAGTATTTACATTCCAAAGAATAATGAATCTGTCCGTATTACACTGTCACACTTTGTTTTGGGATTACTTCAGTGTCGGATTAGAATCAATATAATAATTTTCCTTTTACTCGAAATGAATACATATAAAGTAAAAATGTCAAACTACATGCTTACGTATTTGTACACATTCGAAGTCGCTCGGTGTCCAAGTCTCGTCCTCCTGACACGTGATCACATTTGAGTCACGAGATGCGGGTGAACTGTACCCAAATTTACAGCCGTAAGAAGCACTACAGCCAGTATAAGTCTGCAGAGTAGCGTTCAGTATTTTCCGTGGTGTTGCGCATTCTAAATAGATAGAAAAAAATCATATATATTTTTAAAGTTGTATACAGTAAGTATTTATTACCATTCTCAATTAAATAAGAGATTGGAATTCAAACGACAAATTCGTTCCTGATAATATACCAGTTTTACGGTTACTTTATGCCTCCCGTTAGTTAGCCGTCTAAACAATGTCCTCGGGTGTTGGTCACAATAAGGAGGGGAAATAATTTAACTATTTATCGACAATACACGAAAAAAATGTCGTGTTAAATGATGAATAGGGAACGAAAAACCTTTTACATTATCCATACATAAGTGCCTTCAAACATGACAATTGTTTTCCTTCCGAATAACCTGTTTTTACTGTTAAAAACTAAACCAGAATATGTTATATGTAGTAACGGTCTAAGACAGGTGTCGTCTGATCGTTATACGCGAAGGTGTGCTGTGATAATGTGTTATGTGATCGTAATACAATATGTTCTGTGATCTTGTGTTATGTGATCGTAATACAATATGTTCTGTGAAAATGGTGTAATCGTGTTTTAAGATATTTTTATTTTATAATGCTATGTGGTAGTGTTCTGTGATAGATAATTTTTACTTTGTTATGAGATGGTGTTATGTAATATTTCTTTAAATAGAGATATTAAGTGTTTATTTCTACCCTTTTTTAAGGTAGAGGGTACCACTTCACCTGTTACATAATCGCACAGTTAAGATTTCCATTCACAATTTTATGACGCTGTGGTTTTTGTTAGCTTGATTTCCCCATTTTTATTTATCGTCTAGCTATATGGCATTGTATACACATCGACATATTACCTGTTATCTTGTTGTATCCTACTGTACACACCAACATATTACCTGTAATATTGTATCCTACTGAACAAACCAACATATTACCTGTAATCTTGTATCCTACAGTACACACAGGCATATTACCTGTAATCGTGTAATCTACTGTACACATCAACATATTACCTGTTATCTTGTTGTATCCTACTGTACACATCAACTATGGCAAGCCAAGTTGTCATTTATGCATGGAGCAATGTTGATCCAGTACTTAACCAAATTATATAAGATATCTTATTTAATTATATAAGATATCTTATATACTTTGAAATATCTTTTATACTTTATAAGATATCTTATATAATAAATGAGATATCTTATATCTTTTATAAGATATCTTATAACCGAATTATATAAGATATCTCATTTATTATATATGATATCTTATAAAGTATAAAAGATATCTCAAAGTATATAAGATATCTTATTAAGTATAAAAGATATTTCAAAGTATATAAGATATCTTATAAAGAAAATTAAATGAGATATCTTATATCTTTTATAAGATATCTTATATGATATATAAGGTATAATATAAACAAAATTAAATGAGATATCTTATATAATTCGGTTATAAGATATCTTATAAAGAACGAGATTTGAATTTGAGATAATAAACCCTCCTCCACAGCGCTCGGTAAAGCATTAAATCGAAAGCCTTAGTTTCGTACGTATCTCTTAACCGGAAATGAAGTATGTGAAAGTGAAAGTAGGAGTTTAATGCCACCAAATAGGTCTGGTTATAGCGGTATTAACATTATTTTAAAAGGTTAAGCTTTATAAAGTAGATGGGGGGTAAGTGGTGGAGAAATGGATGTTCCTATGTATTTCATAACTGAAGGAAAACGATCCTACTGCATGTATTACTTACAATTTATTCATTAAAATGTTTTATCTTGATTTTCTTCACGGATTTCCTCTAAATGTTTTTAAAGAAATTTGATAAAATTGTAATATTACCCGTACAAATTCACAGACAGGTAATTGACATTAAACATATTAGGAACATTTATTAATTGTTTCGGCTGCTTATCACAGACCGCATTAAAGCCATTTTGGTCTCTGTGGAGTATAACATATAGATAGACATGGGGACATTTTTTTTTATTTACTGTTTCAGACTGGTCATACACCTGTATTTATTATCACAGACAGGCTATGTATCTTTAATTATATTGTTTCAGATAAAATTGTTTTAACTATCACAGACATTAAAGAACATACTTATGTATTTGTAATTCTATGTTCTATCAATATACTGTAATGTAAGGAACATTAATTCATTGTTTCAAACTGGTTATAAACTTGTATTTACTTATACTATTACAGACAAGAAGTAATATTTCATTATTTGATACATATGTATACAGATAAGTGATATTTCATCATCAGGTGCATGTTCTTTAAAGTCTTTGAGATATTGATCACTTATAAGATATATTTTGTAGAGATACAATTGTATTTTGTGACCTAAAAGGCATTTCACACAAGCCAGATACATGGTAACACTTACAGCATGTCTGTAGTAGTAATTACATGTGTAATACCTGTCTGTGATAGTATATACATGTGTAATACCTGTCTGTGATAATATATGCATGTGTAATAACTGTCTATAGTAGTAATTACATGTGTATTACCTGTCTGTGATAGTATATACATGTGTAATACCTGTCTGTGATAGTAAATGCATGTGTATGATCTGTCTGTGGTAGTAAATACATGTGCAATACCTGTCTGTGATAGTATATTCATGTGTAATACATGTATGTAGTAGTACATGTTTAATACCTGTCTGTAGTAGTATTTATGTGTAATACCTATCTGTGATAGTATATGCATGTGTAGTACCTGTCTGTAGTTGTAATTACATGTGTAATACCTATCTGTGATAATATATACATGTGTAATACCTGTCTGTAGTAGTAACTACATGTGTAATACCTATCTGTGATAATATATACATGTGTAATACCTGTCAGTAGTAGTAACTACATGTGTTATACCTGGATGTAGTAATATATATATATATAATATATTGCTGAGCATCAAAACTTGGATACACTTTTGTTAGAAAGACTTGTCCTAACTCAGTGCCTCTTGTTTATTATAAAACACAACAAAGATATCTTTATAAAGAAATATTGAGAAGGTTATATAATGATTTGTATACAGATTATACAAACTAGTAAACAGGGTAAATAAGAAGTGGTTTACAGAGTATATAAAGAATGGTATATAGAGAGTGGTATACAGGGTACATAAAAAGTCCTTATTTATTTAGTAAGGGTATCCTCTATAATACAGCCTCATTGCATAAGGTACCTGTATTTATCATCTCTATTATATATAGTGTATTGACTCATTTTCCAGAAGATACAATGTACATGATACAAAGTATATACATGGTATATTTCCGGTAAAGAGGAAAATAAGACATTTCATCTTCAAAAACCTGTAATTGTAGCATATCTCAGGTCTGAAAAAAACAGAGGCAAATCAGTCACTGGGCCAGAGCATTTGGGTGCCAATAGAGGAAGTTTGGGTGTAAAGATAATTAAGATCCCCCACCATGTAACCATCTGAATACATCCATGCTTACATGATTGGCGCCAGGGTCCTGCCCTGCCACAAGGGGCTTATAGTCCCCAAATTTTACATGAAATCAGTAAAGATCCCATCCAAATGCTGCTGGGCATGCAGAGGAAAAACACTCATGATACCAAGATAGTCCCTAATGGAGCCCACCCCATCCCTGAGGACTTACTCCTTCAGTCATAACATGGAAATTGTTGAGATCCCCAAGCTGATATTTCCTGTATGGTAAGAGGTAATCAACAACTTTTAATGAAAAATATTATTCCAGGTGAGCTATTAATAATGTGCCTGTGCTTCTTGTTCTTGAGAGGCCACAATAAGGGAACATAAATGGGAAACTCCAGCACAAGCAAACATGTTATATTTCCTGTGCATGCAATCAATATGAACCAATATCAGACAACTATTATAAAGATGAGGTACCTTACCTACAGAGAATATGGACCTTACATATACCTCATGTATATGTGCATGCATACAAGATGTACTTGATGTATAGGTGTAATCTGATGTATAGAAGGTATATATATACCTGATGCATGGAAGGTGTATATATATACCTGACCTATAGGAGGTGTATACCTGATGTATAGAAGGTATATATACCTGATGCATGGAAGGTGTATACCTGACCTATAGGAGGTGTATACATGATGTATAGAAGGTATATATACCTGATGCATGGAAGGTGTATACCTGACCTATAGGAGGTGTATACATGATGTATAGAAGGTATATACCTGATGTTTAGAAGGTGTATATCTGATGTATATGAGGTGTATATCTTAAGGTTTTTTTTATCAATTGTCGCCCTTTTACTCTTGGGGAGGGGATACATTTACATGATGTGATCATGTGGACGCTAAGGGCCTGAGGGGCGGAGCCAAAAGGGGCCAAAATAGCTCAAACAATAATTGTCTACTTCCAGATCCAGATATGTTAAAAAACCTTCTCATGGATGGAAATATCCTGATGTGCTTAATCAAAATGTGAATTTCACAACCCCTTGGGTACTAATTCCTCCCTGGTGAGGGGCAAAATTCCCTGCTATACATATATATATATGTAATTTTTATTTTTGACATATCACAACAACAAATAACAATTGCATTACAACTCAGGTGACCTGTTAGGCCCATGGGGCTCTTGTTTTAAAGTACTGTATTAGTTGGATGTGTTGATATTGGCTTCCACTAATAATCCCACTACTTACCTATAATTAGATGTGGGTTACAGGGACATGTCACATGCTTATTAAGTGTGCTGCAAAATATATATATATACTGTGATGCCCATTCATTATATATAATATCTTCCATTGTATATATAAACGAGTACCTGGTAGTATTTGACATGTCCCTATAGACTTAAGGTTATGGAATTATGCACTATAGAAATATTCAAATTTCAAATATTTCATATCAATATGGATTGAGTGTCGGTGCTATATATTTAAAAAAAAAACTGTTCAAAACAGTTGATTCTCAAACAGAATTTGTTCTGTATCAAAAAAAAAAATGTTTTTGGGCTGAAATATCTATCCTAGATGTTATTATTAAAAAGAG